AATTCCTTCCTAGTAGAGTCAGTTTGTTATTCCAAATTATTTGCTCATGAAATGCATTTTCGTTTGCTGGGCTTACGTCTGAATTCAGTCTTACCCAATTTTGTAAAATATTTGAAAAGAACAGTGGTAACCTCACTGGCAGGACTTTAGGGTCAAAGATACAATTCAATAAAACTGAGAGTCCACCAATTGGAATCAATGTGTCTAAAATGATTGTTTTTTATGGATGTGACACTTTTAATTATTACTCACTCGTATCAACCAGTTAACTATTTGGGCTGCATTAATGGCATCGATGTCTTGCAATCTTATCAGGGCCCTGCACAGAAATTTAAATAACATTGTGTTTATTTTTTCAGATATTTGGTTGGGTTGTCCACTTGGTTAATAATGTATTGAAGTCTTGAAAAACGCATTTTCACTTGCTTCTCATGTACCATGAACAGATGAAACTTGGTACATAGATGCTCTGGGAAAATACGCAGGCGTGATTAGTTTTTGGTTAAAAGCAATGCGTAATAATTACCTAATTTGCATATAAATTAGCCAATATTTAGCTTTTCCACCTATATCTCAACCACTGACCAAATTCAATGAATCTTGGTACATAGATACTCTTGGATAAGCCATATACATGTTCAGTTTAGGGTTAAATTTCGTTCTGATTAAATTTGCAAAAATTAACCAATTTATAGTACCACTCGAGTACCACTCATCAAATTTTACTGAAAATAGGTACATAGGTGCTTTTGGAAAATACACAGATCAGATTATTTGAGGGTTGAAATCCATGCATAATAATTATCTATTTAGTATAAATCGTTGCATGTGTCCTTAATATGCATAACTGTATCAGATGACTTTATATGGTCATGTGACCTCAATAATATACATAACTGTAATATCTTAAAAGGTGGTGGTCGATGCGCTGCGTCCTGTTCGATATGGGACTCATAGCGACGTAATATTTACATGAAATTCGAACACGCATCGCAACGACCGCCGCCCTTTCAGTATTGTTGGAGACATGCAACTGGTGTTATGTCCTTGTCTGGCAGTATATATATGACATCAAAATATCAAGTCATCATATAGGGTCATAAATAAATATTTGTAATTATTAAAACATAGCTATTTGGAACCATCCTGATCATTGTTTGCAGTTTTATTTTTAAATGCATGTGCTTTACTGTAAATCCCGGCTGTAAATATAAATGACAAAGACAAGTTTATGGCATATTTCAATGATTTTGCATGTAATTAAAGCGGAGGAGTCGTCACCTACGCATGCGTCAGATGGCCATAGCGTGTCATTGTTTACAAACAAGGGTCTACCCATAAACCTTTGCGTTTTAGCGTCTGTTGTTATCGTCGTTTGGGACTCAATTCCCGCGCATGCGCAGGTGACGACCCTCCCGCTTTCCCTTTGTGTGTATTGAGATGTGCTTCTAATGTACACACTGAATAATAATAATATTATTCAACACTATAAAATAAAATAAAATAAAATAAAATAAAATAAAATAAAATAAAATAAAATAAAATAAAATAAAATAAAATAAAATAAAATAAAATAAAATAAAATAAAATAAAATAAAATAAAATAAAATAAAATAAAAATAAAATAAAATAAATAGTTAACCAACTAAACAGAATGCTAAATAAAGCTAAATAATATTACAAACACTTTATGTGTAAATAAACTTGTACGGTACGTACAGTACAATACAATACCATACCAATACCTATTAAAGGCAACGTTTACGTTTATTTAAATATGTATATATTTGTCATGGGTAAGCTTTTAAACTACATCCGGTTGTGGAGTCTATGGACTTGAGAGAATGAGATTACCATTTGCCACAACTACCTCCAGGGCAAGGTGTAGTACATGTAAGCCTTGGGTGCCAACTTCCCACATAACAAGTTTGGTTGACGTCAGTAAAGGCACGCGATCGTAAAATTCCTGCACAAACAGATCCGCATAGGTCGACAATTTTCATGTAAATATGTATATATACGTTTCAGTTTTTCTTAGCATTTGGCGGGGGGGGGGGGGTCGTAACCTCTTGTAGTGAGAATCATTGTGACTGGCCTGCCAACGGGTTGCTAAGGATTTCATAGGAAAAGTTGCCAGTTACATCCGTTAATGTAATTAAACTATGGTGGAAAGAATAGTTTGGTCGAGCTGCTCATATCTCATTTGCACACATTTTTGTATGTAACAATATTTCATAATTGCTTCGAATTTTTCCAGTTCATTTAAACTTATTAAAATTTAGTATAATGTCTTGCAGTGCTTGGATAATTTAATTATGTGTGTATTGTACAGACTGCAGTCCATAAGGAAATGTATCTCATCTTCAATCTGTTCCACAGTATTTACATACTCTTTCATTCCTTGGAGTTTTGCAATGCATGTCAGTTTCAATATGGAGTTTATGATCAGGGATTCTAAACTGGCATAAGGCTTGTCTCAGTTTAAAGGGCGGCAGTCGTCGCGCCGCGTCCTGTTCGATATGGGACTCATAGCAACGTATACAACGCGTATAAAATACATTGTTTATTTACATAAAATTCGAACACGCGCTCCGCGACGACCACCGCGCTTTAACATTTCTCATTGTTATTAAATATTTTTCCAATTTAAACTTTGTTTTGAATGTTCTATAATTTGCTAATTTCCTTGTTATGAACAAAGATGTCAACTTTGACTGTTGTGCAGACCAACGAGTACAAACTAAGACCAAGCTTTAAAGCGGAGGAGTCGTCACCTGCGCATGCGTCGGATGGCCATAGTGTGTCATTGTTTACAAACAAGAGTCTACCCATGAGCCTTTGCGTTTTTAGCGTGTGTTGTTATCGTCGCTTGGGACTCAATTCTCGCGCGTGCGCAGTGACGACCCTCCCGCTTTAACTAGATATTTCTTTGGTGATTGGAAAGTATTGAAAAATTCATCAGTGGCAATTAGTGCACATCGCGCCCAGGTCAAACTCATACTCATGATTTCCATTAGAAGAGAGCATTGAATTGTGGGTGTCGCATACGACTTATTTACCACTTCCGTGTCACTGAGAATGTTCTAGAACCGTACTGTGTCTGGGTGGAATATTCTAGATATTTTTAGAAACTGGTTGAATAGGTAATAGAACACTGTAGGAGGCAATAGAAGGTAATGGAACATTCTAGAAATTTGTAGTAAGTGCTAGACTCATTATGTATGCTGATGTAATGGTCTATTTATTGACAGTGGAGGTATATATAGGGGAGTTGTTCAGCACTGAGTTCAGATCGGAGATCTCGTTGTATTGTATTGGAGTTTAAGTATCTAGTCATTGGAGTAGTGGAGTTTTACCGCGTTATTGTACTTGATGTTTGCAGAGTATAATAATACCAGTACCAGTTGAAACCTCATCTGTTGGCTCCGCGTTCGTATTTTATCATTGCCGCCAGGGAAGTCTTTATGTTACTGTTGTTCGTGTGACAGTGGGAAAATCAATTGTTATCAACACAAATTTTGCACATGCACAGCCCGTCGACTGCTGCCTTTAAATGTCTCCAATACCTTCAGAACATGGGAGTTCTTTCTAAGCTTTCGTTTATTTATCTAATATTTTTATCTTTGTTGGCTTATTAATATTTATAAATTTCACAACTGAATTGAGAGGTTTCTGAATTGAATAACATTTAAACATTTTAAAGTTAGATTCAACTACCATTGAAATTGACAAATATTTATAAAGATGAATGGGTGTCTTTGTTGCGCTGAGAGAAAAACTGACGCAAATTATTGTAAACCTGGGAGGGGGGCTGCATATTTATATTCATAATATGTTATGGCAGTTGAATCCAACCAACCAATCAACTTGCACAGTGCACAATGAGGTCATTTGAAAATATTCCTATGTTATTCAATTGGCTAATATAAACCGCTTTTTTTAGTTTGAATTTTATAAATACAGTGTATTTATAAAAAAAGTGAAGGGAATGTGTTGGGATGAGAGAAATAGTGACGCAAATTAAACCTAGTCCCTGCATATTCATATTTATAATTTTTTATGGCAGTTGAATCCAGCCAGCCAATCAACTTGCACAGTGCACAATGAGGTCATCTGAAAATATTCTAACGTTATTCAATTGGCCAATAGAAACGGCTTACTTTAGTTTGAATTTTAATAGGAATGGGTTTGTTGTGTTGATAGTACCAGTAGTTTTAGCTATGTAGGTATATTGTTTTCACCTCAATGTTTATGCTAAATCAGTTAACAAATAAATTACACATGTCAAACAAATTAGCTTTTTACATGAAAAATCAATTTTAACAGTAATTTTGATTCTCATGCTTGAAGACGCATTAACAACGAACAGCGCCATCGTACGATTAAGACAGAGGTCGACGAACTCTCGGGCAGATGGCGCAACCCTTTGCGAGGCCTCCGTATTTATGTCGTAGCTTTTCCCGTTTCTGTGTTGGCTTTGTAGTCCGTATTTCTGACGATGTATAACGCTGTAAACATAATGTCGGTTTTAGGAGCATCTTTATTTCAGCACAACTGACCCTAACTAATCTAAATGTGACTTGCCAGACACAAATAATTAAATCCCCACAAGGGCGTGTGATATTTGAAAGAAGCCAATCAGAGACATCGTTATGTTTTGATCAGCCAATCACCACTATGGTTTTATCGTAACGTCGGGAAACTGTGAACATTTTCTGAAATAAGAATTTAGAAGCTGCTTGGCATAATATTCAATGTAAAGCGCTGTCTTATTTCAGGAGACGGTAATATTTGTTGAAGTAGGGGTATTGCTCGTATATAATGAAGTAACTAAAAATAGTTGACCATAACATGTCGCTATTTGTAGTAAATACGACAATATTAGTGAATGTTTTTTTCTGATCGTGCACCCAAGTTCTCCCAATGTTGAGGCCTGCAAAGGTGACACAGAGGCGCAGACTATAGCGTGCGACTATTGAATCTTTTGTTGTGTAGTCACAAGAAATTATATATTCATCAACAATTTGGCCCACATGTGTACCTTTTTACCGGCTCAACCTTTTACTATACCGTAAGAGAGTTTTCAAACTCGTACGAGTTGGAATTTGGCTACAAAAGAAGAAGAATCGGGGCTGTTCCTGGGTGTTTATTTCTACCTCGGTCGTGCGGGGACCGTTGGTTGGACTGCTGTGTGTAGAAACGCAGCTTTGTTTTGCAATCCGAGCTGCTAAGATTTGTTGATTTTCTGCAAGACGTGGATACGACTTTTGTGGTACTGAGTATTGCGGGATAAGCAGTGATAGATTTGCAATATCGTATGGTAGGTAACAATCTATTTTTTGCTATCATATCGTTAAAACTTGTCCGGTGTTTGACCTTTACTTGTTTGAAATGTAGCAGGACTGCGCCATGTTGTTTCACTCAATATTTGAATTTGACCTCCAAGTTCCAGAGATGATCGGTTAGTACCATTTTCATTGCTATTCAACGTTTTTTTAGTTAGTTTCTGCCTAAAGGAATGTTTTATATCAAAGTTTTGTGTCTTGGCTTTCTTGCCTTCCGATGTTCAACCGTTCTGTATGCCTGCTTGTCTGTGCTTCCACAACGAGTGTAAACAAGCTAGCTTTGGAAGGCAGTCATTGTAGTCTTTGTCCAGGGTCGTTAAATCTTATATTTAAGTGGGTCTCTAGGTAATTTAAAAGTTTGTATTGCTTTCCTGGATTTGTCATTGTACTGATTTAGTGTTACTTTTGTTTTGAAACGGCATCAAACTTTTAGAAACGCCGGTGCTTGTCCACAGTCGATACCCTAATAACAATAGTAGACAAGAAACCACACAAAGGACTCTATCAAGTTCATCCTCGGACAAAAGAAACTTTGAAAACTTTTTGGTAGACTTTTTGTGCTTAACCCATGATTTATTTGTTTGTTTCAGCTGCACAGTGAAGTATGGATGTCTGTTTACGTACATAGCCATAATGGTTAGAGAGAGAGAATCATGCATAACCACTGAATGGATTTTGCAAGCAATCAAGAAAATAAAAAAACAAAAACAGAGGCCATCAGACGATAGGATCTGCAATGTAGTGAGTTCCAGTCATGGTCTGAGTAAAAATGAAATTCTAGAAGAACTTGAACTGAATGTCCAAGATGGTAATGTTTTGAGAGTTTATAATAAAGGTGTTGCTTCGTACAAAGATCCGGCTCAAAGAGGGGGCACCACCATGAGGAGTCGGAGTGTGATCATCACCAAAACTACAGAGCTTTTCAGGTTTATCAAAACTGCTATTAAAGATCTCAGAGAACCTAAGGGGTTGTCATTGAAAAGTATAGAGAAATATGTCCGAGAAAAATGTACTGTTGAACTTGCATCAGGTGTGGATTTGAACGCTCAACTGCGACTTGCCCTAAAACGATCTGTACAGGCTGGTAAATTAGTTAAGAATGGGCGACACTACAAGCTATCACCTCCTAATAGGGGAGGTCGGGCAAGCAATGGACTTGAGGTTGCCAGTAGTTCACACTCGTCTAGTCCAATGCACGAGAGTCCCTCCGGTGACGACAGCTCAGACTCTGGTAATATCCCTCGTAAGGTTAGTATTTTATGTTTTCTTGATACTAAACTAAAAGAATTTTATTTTATTTTGTATGATAAATTATGTGGTGTGTTTTACTGAATGCTGTGTTTGAAAATGTGAATGTAGTTTTTTAGTTCACATTGTTTTGTTTTGTCTTAAAATGACTTGTGGTTACTTTAACAATCCAGCTAAAACCTTTTTCCATGTCTTGTATAACATGTCTGATGGTTGTCCATATAAGCACTATATTGATGTTTCTAATCTGGTTGTAGTATGCGTGTACGCATGGTTTTATGAATGAATGAGTATAATCAATATACTGTACTGTTGGGTCAAAGGTAAAAGTTGAAAGGGTATTCCCAAATGTATTTGTAGTCTAGCATTAAGAGAGAAGAGATTTTCTGGTGATAAATTGCCTTGTTAATAATTTAAACACCATGTAATATTTCGTCTGTATTCTACCTATCTGATAGGGAAATTTATTTTTAAATGCTGGTATAGAAATGTTTTGGATAGTGGTTTTGTATGATTGGTAGTTCGCTACCATAGAAACAGATAAAATTGATCACAGTTACTCATTCAAAAATTGTTGTGTAATGATTCACATACATGGAAGTCATTCATATTTAAAGTTTTTAATGGAGAAAGAATGTGTTGTCAAGAAATGCAAAATAGTCCAAAAAGTGGCCATTTTGGAACAATGCATGTAAATGCATTATTCCATGGGTAACTTGTACTAATGTATAATATTTTCCAATTTCCCAAATGTTTTTGTGAAAGTTACATTGAATCTCTCTATCAAATGGCAATTTATTGCGCTATCATGGCGTCGACCAGGCCCGGTTAAACACAACCACCTGCGGAACTTAACCAAAGTTGTTTTGTGTAAAAATTAGTTCAGTGACCATATATGTTTTAATTTCAGAATTTTAAATTTTAGCCTATTTTTAACCTGTTTTTAATTGTAGTAAATTACCTTAACTTGTGCAGGATTTGTTTGCATGTTCTGGTTTCTTTAGTGGCCTTTTTGTTAATAACTGTGTTCCAAATGTATACTTGGAGACTGTTCTGGTCATGTTCTCTGTGCTCCTGAAGGTGACAAGATCCCCAAATTCGAGACTATGAAAGAATACAGTTATCTATGTTTAGAATTATCTTCAAAGTTAATTGTTGTATTCGTGTGACCTCTTTACTGGCTCGTCAGGGTATTTATCAGTGAGTGGGTGAGCATAGCTATGTCATCAGACATATCCTGGCATATACAATTACATGGATGCCTGATGATATGTTCCTTGAAAAGGAACCCACAATGTGTACCGGAAACCACATGCTTTGTTGACATCTTTATTGACCAGATAATATCCTGAATGACCTTTCAATTGTAATATTGTATGATAGCCTGCAGCCAGGTTATGGTGGGTGACCATCAACAACTACTTTACTTTACACATAAATAAAAAACAGGATGACAGTCAAAAAGTATGCTAGGGATGAGTAATTTGTTTATAAGCTAAACTCAATGTATTATATTGTGATGTAAATTATATTTGAAAAATGCTTAGTTCTCTTATGTTCTTGGAAATAACAGACTTTCATGAGCTATAGTCTTTATGAACGTTAAATCACAAAATTACCAGTCGGCCTAAATTTAAATTTGCAGTACTGTCAGGAGGGATTGCTTTTGTGTAAACGATAGATGATAACTTTTTTGGCTTTGTATACCTCTATTAGAGATGTGATTCTAATTGAGCAAGAATACCCTACATGTACTGCACTATAAAAAAAAATAATCGGTGTGGTTATAATGGTAAATTATCGATATAGTGTGAACTATCAGTATTACCTTTCGACTTCATGATATATGGATAATATAAATTATCTTTCAAGTTTGCAGCTTTGTTTCAAATATACATGTCGTAGACATTATTCATATAATTATATTTGTCTATGAGTATGGTTTGACCATAGATACCTGCATGGTTTGAAAGTGTTCTATGTGATGTGTTTTGACATGTCAAGACAAATCCACAGTACACATATAAACTACTAAATTGTGTGCCCTACTTTATGTTAGACCTTGGCTAATGATAAGCAAATGTCACTGACCTGGTTTCACCTTGTTCCCAGTGTTCTATAAGATAAACAAATGATTCATTATGCCCTCCAGCTCTTTGTGCATTACTATAATCAGCATTCTGACTCTAAATTGCTCCATTGCGAGTTGTATTGTTTCCTTATTAAATGATGGTACTTCACTTTGGGGAATTCCCTCATTTAGTGGTGCACTGTAGGGAGTCGTGTACTACTTATGTATACATGTACATCATGACATCCCTATGAAATTCAAGGTATTTTAATAATCCACCAGCCTTGTTTACCAGCAAAATGCCTTTATACATACTTGCTTTGTCAACAAAGCAGTTTGTCTGTCTGCTTATATGGCAACTGTAGTATGTGTAAAGAACAAACATTCCCTCTATTCACAGATCTTATTGTGCAACTAAAGTGGATCAATCTAGCCATTTTTTCAGCAAGAATAGTTATTCTGGATTCTTTACTGTCTGAATAAAAATCATAGCCACCTTAAAGCGCTGTTAACATTTACGTGTTTGAAACAGCATTTCTATACAGAGACCCAATTGTATGTAGAACATGTTTGACTCCTTTGAAAGGTCAGTTGGACTGGCTATAAAATGAAAGACAACCACTAATTGTCATCTTTGATGTTGATGAACCGTAAAAGTATAAAAGCAGTTACATATTAACTTGCATTCTGTGAGAACTGGTTGAAGTGAAAGACTTGCTGCATGAATTATTATAATAGTATCATTGGAATTTGCCCCGCAAAAAGATTATAGTGTACATTTATATGCTATCATGAGCAGTAAATATTATATCTTGGTTTTTGACTCTCAGTATGCGAAGTACAAAATGGGAGTCTTTATAGATACCCTGTGTGTATGTCTGTTCCACATATATCTCAAGAACCACTGGTCAAATTTCAATGAAATTTGGTACATATGTGCTCTGAGAGATTGTGCAAATCTGATTAGTTATTAGTCAATATTACTTAATTTGTATATACCGTACTTGACCGCGTTAGTGCTCAGTGGCCTCAACTCAGAAAATCACGATCTTTTAGGGGTGGCTTACCCAAGCATCCCCCCTCGAAAATAAGTGCAAATGAAAATTGTGATTCATCATGTGACAGGCTACGTCTTTGACAAATTACAAAATTAGTTGCGTCGTCATTGATTTTCACAATAAAGAAACAGAAATAACCACAAAAAATATGCACATTTTATTACAATATTAATTACGTACCACCAAAATTTACGAAATTAAAAACATCGAGTCTGTTGGAACACAAAGTCAAAATTCTCATCATTATCTCCACTGACAAAGGTGTTGGATCGTATGCAAACTCACGATGAAAATCACTTTCCGCCATGATGCTTTTGCAGATTTGACTTGCAGCAACGTCCTTTGACCTAATGGGTCAAGTTGGTTATTAACTGATCAGAATGCTGTGTTGTACCAACTCAATTCTTCAGAAATTATCGAAGACTTTCCGGTAACGCAATGCGGAAGTGAATTATCAATGTCGAAGTACGACCTGTTGGAATCACATTAACGTGCACCAAATACACTTATTTTTTTTTATTAGTAACGAAAGTATATTCTAAAAGAAGTTTCAAATACAAACGAACACAACTGCCATGTTCAGTAGTAAATGATCGTGGTAGCGCAATCCGGTCTTCCTGAGTTTCACAATTGTTGATTATTACCTAGTAGTTATTATAATACATGCAAAAAAAATTTGTTGAATTGTTGTGGAATGAAAATAAATTTCAACTTATTTCACTTGTTCAAATTACCATAGCTCATTTAAATATGTTAATGTCGTAAGCGAATGATTCCGGTCGCAGTTTAAATGCTCGATGCTGTAGAAATGAATATCCGCCATGTTTTGACCTGGGACGGTGTTCTTTGACCTAACAGGTCAAATCGCAAACTAACCAATCAAAATGATGGACGATGCCAACTCGTTCAAATTAGCATAACTCATTTAAATATGTTAATGTTATTGAACGCAGCACAGAAGAGATTTGCTGATCTTTTTGGCTTGAATTTCGGCATGAAAGTGACATGATTTGTTTTTAAATAAAAAAATTATTTGTTTTTCAAAAGATAAACTGAGCATTTAAAGAATAATGTTACATTGTTTACGGTGATAACAGTTCATTGTCGAAACGAAGCTTACCCATTTACGCTAGTCCCAATAAACATAATTTTTTAAAATAGGTGTCAATGACTTCTTTGAAACTTTTAACGGCTCAGGGCGAATTTACAGCATAATCCGGTATATTCATAATAATACCTATAATAGTCTATATTCCCCACCTACGTGTACATCTCAATAACCAATTATTGAATTTTAATAAGACTTGGTAGTTATGTACCTGGGGACAATGCTAAAGACCTGAGTTTATAATTGAAATTTGAGCATACTAATTACCTAATTTACCTAGTTTGCATACATGTAATATGCATAATCATATTTCATTGAAATATGGTTTGTAGAAGCTCTGGGGTAATCCAGACATGATTAGTTTAATGTTGAAAACCATGCATATTGATTATCTAATTATTATTAGCCAAATTTTGATATCTGAAAAATTTAGATTTAAATTGAACTTGTAGTAGAGGTGCTCTGGAATAAATTAGATTGACAATCACATTTATTATGATCTTCAATACTGTGATCACATTGTTTTCATGTGTCTATCTCAAATAGCTGACCAATATTAGTCATCAAGCTTCTTTTTTTGAAAGGCTAATCTTTAATTAATATTCCTAAAATACTCTCAACACACAGGAGTTCTTACTTCGCTTTCTTTGATTAGTAGAGTGAGTGGATGAGTCAGCAGTCATTTGATTTTGAGTTATCAATGAAAACAAAATACAATTGAATGTACATTCATCACTAGAATGTTGCATACTGAGTTTATTTT